AATTAATAAATCCGATAACTGAAGATGAAAATACCGAATTAGAAGTTATTCAATCAGTTATTGAAAATCCAAATACAAGTACAAGGACGATGGCCAGGGAGATTGAAGTAAGCCAAACTAGTATATGCAGAATTCTTAAAAAATATCAATATCACCCATACCATATTCAAATGCATCAGCATTTGTATGGAACTGATTTTGAACGTAGGTTAGAATTTTGTTTATGGTTTCTAGACAAAACGGGAGCAGATCAACATTTTTTTGATAAAATTTTGTTCACTGATGAATCTACTTTCCATAATAATGGACTCGTGAACCGACATAACTTTCACTATTATAATACGGAAAATCAACATGAATATAGATGTACTGATCGACAAAACCGATGGTCCCTTAATGTATATGGTGGAATAATAGGAGAACATGTGATAGGACCGTATTTTTTTAATGGCCATTTAAATGGACAAAAGTTTTTAAGATTTCTACGAAGAGACTTTTGGATACTTTTGCAAAATATCCCTTTAAATATTAGAAGAACAATGTTTCTGCAGCTAGACGGTGCTCCAGCACATTACACGCGTAACGTTAGAGAATATTTAGACAGAAAATTTCCCGGAAAGTGGATAGGTAGGGGTGGTGCTGTCAATTGGCCCCCTAGATCACCTGGGTTAACATCAATGGACTTTTTTTTTGGGGATATATTAAAAGTTTGGTTTATCAAACTCCACCTACAACCGCTGAAGACATGAAAACGCGTATTCGTAATGCGTTTGCAACAGTTACTCCAGAAATGCTAAGAAGAGTAAAACAAAATTTTGAACACAGAGTGAGGTTATGTATTGAAGAAAATGGACACCATTTTGAACATTTAATGTAAATTAATTTTTTTCTAGTGTGTTTTGTTTAACTTTATGTAATAAAGTGTAATTAATTAATTTCAAGAATAGTGCATTTTCAAAAAAACCCAAATTAATCGAAAATTATAAAGGATAGGTATAGGGATTGTTTAATAAAGTAATATTATTTTTTTGATTAGAATTCAAAATTAAAGTAAAATACAGGGTGTCCCATTTAAGTTAAGAAAGTAATTACACAAACTATTATACAGCATTGACACTTCGTATTGCGAACACTCTGTAGATTAATTTCAATTGGTAATTATTCTGATGTAAAGCATGGACACTTGAAAATTAATTGACAAAAAGGCGTTAATTATAATTGATGCGATATTGTGTAATTAATTAATTTCGCGAATAGTACATTTTCAGAAAAACCCAAATAAATCGAAACCGGTCAAAAATAGGTATAGGGAATGTTGAATAAAGTAACATTATTTTGTTCAGTAGAATTCAAAATTAAAGTGAAATATAGGTTATTCCATTTAAAAAAGTATAAGTTTATATCATTACGCCAAATTGGGACACCCTGTATATATCTCACAAATTTTAATTTGTAGCCGGTACTGACCTACGTATTCCTACAAAAGGAATTTTTAATATCTTTAGCCATTTCCCCGGTAGGCTCCGTCCCGTTGAGCGTGACTCACCCTGTATATATATATATATATATATATATATATATATATATATATATATATATATATTCGTATATATAAATATATATTATATAGTATATATATATATATATATATATATATATAAATATATATAATAATATATGTGTATAAGATGGTGTATTGGTATTTCTGACTATTCTTCGTCTTCAGTACGGTGCAGCCAAGTTAGGAAAAAGAGCATATTAACTTGATAAAGGAGAAACAGTTTTTGTAAATTTACATTACATGTTTTTCTTTTTGTGAAAAAAAACATACAATTTTTCACAAAAAAATTTTTACAACTTTGACCAGCTTTTACGGCAATATTCTCAAAATGGTAAGTAACATCAACTTAATTAAACTAGATTGTCAATTTTCATGTCAAACTATTTGTAGCTCATCCCTGATGATGTCGATGACTATCGACGAAATATTGGATTAATAAAGGACTAAAGAGTACACTTAGCATATCCTTTCAGCTGTTTGTACCCAAAGAGTCTTATTGTTTACTTTATTTTTTAACTTAGCAGCTGTGATTAACACTATATATATATATATATATATATATATATATATATATATATATATATATATATATATATATATATATATATGTATACATTAATATGATATTGTAATTTTGAAATATGATAAAACAATAATTAAATTAATTATGATCCAAATAGCTAATTAAAACAAAAACAAAATATTTAGTGAATTTTATTACGAATATGTAAATAAATTTTATTAACGACGCCAATTTCATAATTCATATGTTTTCAATTCTCCAAAAAGCCAACACATTCCAATTCCAAAAATCGCTGTTCTCGAGTTGAGGACCGCTACCTGAACAGCCAAAATAAGTGCACCGAATTACGGACCGAACGAGATTTTAATGAGTAAAGAAACATTTAATATTAAAATATTATTTTAGATTTAGTTTCTTTTGAGCTGTATTGAAAGGTGTTCCAAATGAGTGAAATTAATAGTTATTGTGATTACATTATTGTGATTATTGAGATTCGTACTTTTAATAATATTTTATACCTGAGTATAATGATTTCCTTATCAGAAGTCTTGGTCCTCAATTCGCGCGATTTTTTCAGGTATAAAGGTAAACCCTTACTTAAAATTTTATTTTGATCCTCAATTCGTGTCTGCACCCAAAAATTGTGTATTATACAAAAATATCAGACAAAGACTTTCTACTATCTACTAATGACTTGTTTCCTGGTAACCGATATTAATCCTTGAAAAATGTAGGTAGATTTGATATTTCAATATTTAACATTATATGTAATAAAATAAATGCTATTATTTCTTAAATAAAATGCTAATTTGAAAAGTAAAACTGCAAACCGTAAATCGAAAAAGTGTCCTTTCTTCACAAAACAATATAACTTCACAACACAACAAAATTAAACCGTATATATAAATATGATATAACTATAACATGATTTTACAAACATTTTTTGGTCTTCTTTTTCTCTATTAATTTTTCTTTATATACATATTCGGAATATATATATATATATATATAAATATATATATATTATATAAATATATAATATATAATATATATATTATATATATATATATATATATATATATATATATTATATTGTAGAAACTACGACCGTCATTTATATTAATAAAGTATTCAACTATAATTCAATTATAATAGTGAATTCAGAGGTTTATTCGGTCATTCAGGTTGGCAAAATAAAACAGAAGTCAACTACTTCATAAGTTTATAGAAGACGTTTCGCTTTATACTTCTAAAGCTTCATCAGTTCTCTAAAATACAAAGATGACATAGAGTTTATAAGAAATACAGATCTAATAATTTATTACTTACAACTCAATATGTAGTATTAAAGATGTTATTGTATATTATTATGTACTTAAGTTCTACTCATAAATTTAGAACTAACTTAAACAAAAATTTAACAGAAACAAAGAACACAAAAACTTTGCAAAAAATAATATTCGCAGAAATATTGGTATTATTATTTCGTAAGATGAGAGAGCGGTAAACCTGGCTTAAATTGTCGATGTCAGTTCTTTTGTTTATTGTAGATGGGTTTTTTAGGATCTCACACATTTCAATAATGGAGCGTTTTTGATGGTTATTTTGTTACAAAATGTGTAAACAAATGATATATATGTATTATATATATATATATATATATATATATATATATAAATAATATATGTATATATATAATATATATATATATATATATATATATATATATATATATATAATATATTATATATACAATATGTATTTATATATATATAATATATATATATGTGAAGATCAACAATAGTTGCATTTGATTCACAAGCTTTTGGAGTACATACAATAAATCAAAAATCCACAAGGAAAATAAATTTTTGAATCTGACTGTATACCATAAATCGCAAATTATAGAACAAATCGTTACAAGCATAATATACCAAATGTTTTTATCACTTTTCTGTTAATCCTCTAATGGGCAAAGTATCTAATAAGATACAATTAGTATTTGTCCGTATACCGGGTAATGTATCCAGAAAGATACTTATTCAATTTTCTTCAGTACCTGGCAATGTACACCCGAGGATACAAACTAAATTGTCGCTTAACTGGCAATGTGTCTTCCTAGATACTACTTTTCAAAGTGATCCTATCTGTTTGTTTATAGACAAATTGTGAATATTATTTTATACAATTATTTAATGAAGACACAATTAACTATAATTATAGTTTGCCAATCCATACAATAACTATTAACACATAAAAAATTAATTTACTTACCGAATGACACAAATTACCACTTTTTTGGAAGTCATTTTGTGCACGTCTACACAAAACACTCTCTAATTGTGCCAAAACTCTATGTATGGCATTCAAATTAATTTGTTGGTTAGCCGAATGCTATAGGGAGAGGGTACTTTTAAAATCTTGCTGCAAACTTAGTTTATTTAGAGGAAGTATAATTTAATAAATAACGTATCCTGGAGTGCACACCGTCAAGTTAAGGGTTAAGAAAGGCTATCAGCCGAAACAGCTGTAGTGATAATAGTTAAAATAAATTTTGTGGAAGTTTGAAAACAAAGTTTTCAGTGTTTTATTGTTACATAAAATGAATTTCCATCAAGTAACGGTCGAATCCATCAATTATATACCTATTACAAAGGATTTTTAATACATGGTATACAGCCAACTACAGGAACGTAGATTCCTTGTAAAATATATATATATATATTATATATATATATATATATATATATATATGTATATATATATATGTATATATATATATATATATATATATATATATATATATATATATATAATCGAACATAATTTCATATAATTTCATTATGAACACACGATGATACATTGGCATTTCCCTTTTAAACAAACATTCATTTATAGGTTATAGCAAAAACTTACCTATTTTCCAACAATTTGAATAAATACGTATTTATCTAGTGATGTACTATTGAATTTACACTTCATACAACTTACTACGAGATAGTGAAAACACAACGATGTTTAATTTATTATTTGTGTCCCTAAATAACTACTGGGAGGTTAAAAGTTTATCTTTAATTAAATACATTTTTATGTAAATTTAAACATATAAGTATATCCAAAAGTAAATACTTTATAAGTTTTTGGTTTTCAGTTTAGGTAAAGTTTTATTTCTTTAAAATAATTTTAACTATAATACGGTGTCTCAAACCACATGCGGCATCTAGAAGTCAAGGGGTCTAAGTAACAAAATCAACATTTTGAGAAAACTCAAGGCAAAGTCGGAAGACTATTGTAAGAGGGAAATTTAAAATTGTATTATTTTGACCACGTAAGGAGGATAATCAGGTCTTTGGGTTGTTATTGCCAATAGCAGAAAGTATTACTATAGTCTGTTATTGTTTTGTGTATAAAAACTAATTGATGGTGCGCACATGAATCCCTTTACCTCTGAATAATTTTGTGATACGATACAAGATGAGTCAATAGTGGTACGGGTGGCTGTAAAAGTGACCGTACTTGTCAAGTTGACATTTTTGTTCGTTGTAATAATGTTGAAAAATTGTTGTGTTATAATAGATTTATTTTTGGAACTAATTCTTGTGACGAAAAATCTCAAACAAAAATTAATGTACCACAAAATGTATTAAAAATAAATAGAAAAAAAAATTCTAAAAAATGTGGTACACCACCAAAAGTTCTTGTGGATACGACAGTTGGATCTGATACAGTGGATTTATTGGTGATCAAATCCGTTTCGAAGGGTCTGTTACACGTGATGAACAATTAACAGTAATAAAATAAGTATTAAAAAAAAGTGTTCAGATATTCAAAAAAATTAGGCTATTTATTTTTCTTTTAAAAGTTCAATGTTTTCTATTCATCGAACAGCAGTATCCAGGATCTTTTATTTAACTTTATGTAATCTAGCTTAAATAACTGCAACATTATATTGCTTCAAACCATAGACGTATAAACATAGATGGACACATCAATAAGATACCTTTAACACACAATGTTGTAAAGCTTCGATAGAATGTGATGCTTCCGCAATGAGCATAAGCGTGCTTGAATTTTAAATCGCGGGTAATTATTCAGATTTTAAAAATTGGAAGTAGTAATAATGTATAAAAACACGTTCAAAGAATTAAAAAAAAAACGAGAGTTTAACTATTAACAAATCACGTCTTTATAGAAAAATTAAAATACAATTTTATTTGCTTTAAAATTAATACAATTAAATATAGTTGAATTCAAGTTAACTTTTTAATAGTATCAAAATAATGCTACAATAAAAAATCTTTATGTTTTCTCCTTAATTTGCTACCCAAATAGTTCGATCGTCAATATTATTTGGAAACCTACATAGAAAAATAAATAAGCTTTATTCATTTCACTAATTTATTTGTATCCATGAGAAATATTAAATTAAAAAGGTACTAAACAGATCTTTTTTAATCAGATGATGTCTACTTACAATTTATAAATGTCTACTAATTTCATGAACTCATATCTTATTCAATACATTAATGTACCTACATGAATAAACCCAATGGTACGCCTATTAAAATGTAAACAAACACGCTTCCTCATTTTCTTATCTTAAATAATGTAAATTGTATGTACATACAAATGAAATGAGAGATCGGGATGTAAATATTTCGTTTATTTTATTTCACTTTTCACATATATCACTCAAAAAATAGCCAAAATATCGAAAATTAACTTTTTCCTCATTTACTGTAAAAAGTAAACAAACATGGAACAGCATTTGAAGTTTGACGTAGATCCATAAGACAGAGAAATGTAAACAACCGTTGCCATTTATAAATAGTTTTTAGTGCTTCTACATATAAAATAATTAATTGATATCTATTATACGCTATTATTAAATGATAATACACACTATGTGCACACTTGATATTTTGATTACAATTAAATATATTAATATAACCAATAAATTATTATTTTGGTTTGATAGCACTTGTAGAGTATAAAATACGGAGTAATATTTTCAGTTGAAGGAGATCAGAATGTTACCTATTCAAATAATTTTGACTTTACAATTTTATGTAAATAACTGAGTCCATCTGTGTTTATACGTCCATGCTTCAAACCAAAATATATCAATACTCGTGTCATTATTGATTGTATTTAAAATTAATGTAACTTCTGCAGTAGATGATCGTGTGTATTGTTATTCTTATAACAAAAAAGGTTGTACTCTCAAAGTATTACATGGTATTACTCCCAGCTGCTTTATCTGTTTTAAGTCACCAGCAGCATGTGGTAGAAAAAGTAATTTTCAAATAATAATTGAATCAGGTTAAACTGATTTACTAGAAAAAGCGGATGTAGTATTGACAGATAAAGGATTCCCAGATATTCAAACTATGATTGACAGTCAAGGCAAAAAAATCTTCCTGTTATGCACCTTTTTTGGAGAGGAAAAAAGAATTTTCTCAAGAAGAAACTGAGCAAACTTATAATATAGCTAGAGTCAGGATAAATGTTGAAAATATAATGCAATTTTTGAGGACTTATATTTTAAATAAAACACCTGAATATTTATTTGACAAAGTTGAGTTCTATTTATTTTTATTGCATGTATATATATATATATATATATATATATATATTTTTTTTTTGTCCATTTTTTCTTAGTTCTTCTACATTCTTAACATGGCTTGCCACAACTAAAGCTTTTCTTTGACTTGGCAGTTGGTTAAAAAGGTATTTATATATATATATATATATATATATATATATATATATATATATATATATATATATATATATATATATAAATTTGGTATTTGGTAATGTACGCCCTCTTTTCCTTCTTTCGGTTGGGATCCATTTTAATATTTTCTTTGGCCACCTCTCGTCTGCCATTCTGTTTACATGACCGAACTAAGTTAGTTGTTTTTTCTGGACTTCATCTATAATGTCTTTTTCTTGCTCCATTCTACGTTTTATTTCTTCATTGCGGATTCTGTCCATCCTTGTCAATCTACAGCTTCTTTTCATAAAATCCATCTCGGTAGCTTGTAATTTTTTCCTGTTTCTTTTACTAGTGTCCCATATTTCTGCTCCGTATGTTACCACCGGCCCAACCATCGTCTTATATATTCGTTTTTTCGTCGTTCTTGTGATTTTTTTTATTTCAGAGAATGGAGTTTAGGCATTTGGTAATGTTTCTGCCTTTGTTTATTCTTGTATTTATTTCCTTATGGCTATTTCCGTCTTTTGTAAACACTACTCCTAGGTATTTTACTCTATTTGTTCCTTTGATTTTGTCACTCTCCAATGTCAGGTCTTCGACTGTATTTTTCCCCATAAAATGCTGTAATTTAATAATTAATTTTATTCCATAGCTAATGTTAAATTGTTGTTATAACAACTGTTTTAAGTAGATAAAGTATCACTTTAACCGCAAGGGTAGATAAAGTGACACATTAACAGCAAGAGTAGATAAAATGTTTTAACTTTTTTTTATTCAATAAATTAGCAATGACATTATTAGAAATATCTATTTTTGGAGCATCACAACTTGTACTTATTTGCTTAAACACTTGATTCGAGGTACTGGATTGATTTTCTGTAACAATTGTTGACAGAGTAATTTATATCCCTAGCAACAAAGCAACACAATTGCGATTTTTGTGCTAAAAATTACAATTTTCTTTGAAATTCTATTTTTCACCTGAACTTGAAGTCTTGGTATAGTAAAAAATGTTGTATTGTACACGACGATAAATTCGCATTATCTTCTCGAGCATAATTAGCGTCTCGACTGACGTCTCGACGCTAAAAAACGCTCTCGAAGATAAAGTACAATTTTATTGTCTTGTACAATAAATAACTCTTAATTACTACATACAATGTTTACCTTTTAATATTCTCAATCTTAAATTTGTATCGTTTCTTTTGTTTGCACAAGGAACAGTTTTATTTATACTTGCGTGTACTGTTATTACTATTTTTTTTGTGGATATCTTCATACTTTCTCGCTGGTGATCCTACTCTTCTTGCAGTTTTTATCGATGATTTCATTTTACTTCTATAATTACACAATTATTAATAATAATCATGTGCATTGCATATCGTTAATATTCATATATACATATTAAATACTCAATCTTAAATGTCAAATAATAAAATCAAAACGTAAAAAATATACTTTTATGAATTTTTACAGTTAAAAATAAATTCAAAATTTTCAGTTCATTTTAGTTCAAAAGTTAATTATTGATATAATCACAATAATTATTGCATTAAATAAAAAAGTTTAAGTCACTTTATTTGCAGCTAATAATAAGATAAGACTAAAATATTAATAGTGTATAGTGCGAACGCCTTCGATGATTTCTGCCACTAGGTGTCACTATTCGGAACTTGCACATAGCGAATACAGTAGATCGAAAGTACCAAAAAACACACGAATCAAAATACGAACATTTAACATTAAATCGGAGAATTATAATTAGAGTATTAACAAAAATAAGAAGAAAATAATAACATAATGTTTGTACATAATTATTACGATCAGTGGAACATGTACAATGAAACTCTTTCCATATTGACCTTTAGACTTTACACCGAAATATGTCAAAGTTTTCCAATATTTCCCAACGAAAAAGGAACACAGAAAGATCAAGTCGAATAACTTTCCAAAAGAAATGAGTCTCATCACTAATAATTTTACAGACCTTCCTCCATTACATTTGGGACAAATGGTCCGGAACCGAATTATGTGTTTAGGGACGAACTGACTGAGAACCGCATAATCCCTTAACAAAATTTATTCCTAGTTAATGGCTCGTCCGCATTATTCCTCCCCTAGCCTTGTGTGTGTTTCAACAAAAAGCCATCCACTAAAATATGGTAATAAGATTGCGAAAGTTACACTACAGATCCAAACACTTAGCTCTTCAAAATTAAAAGTTCTCTCTACCATGTTTACGCTAAGCCCATTAGCCACCACGGGCGTACCTGA